CCCACACCTAGACAGGAGGACGATTAGGGTCCTCAACAAAAGCCTTTGGCTCAAAAGCCTAACCGCAAGGCAGCGGTGTTTGGCAGGAAATGCAAATGCATTACCATTTCTACGGAACAAGTCGCCACATGTCCCAACCCCAACTTGGAGGGCCAGGAGACTGTGTTCGTCAGACCTCTAACCATTGACCAACCGGGTATGAGAGACTCTGAGTGTCGTGGGACACTCTCCAGTATAGCTCAATGGATCGTTGAGGTGCGCAAACCGTCACACCACGGTAAGGTCCAGTCTCTTCAAGAATAAGCGTTCCAAGACAACAGAACCTCTCAAATAATGGGATAGATAAACTTCGCAGCTGTAATCTGGCATATTATCAGTGGTGAATGATGCAATTTGATTCCTCACCATCAATAAGCGGTCCATAGATCGGTCTAAAATCGTTTTGGTCCAAAAAATAGTGTCTGACCCGAACCCCGGGGGTTACGGCAATGCGCTTACTTTGAACACTTCAGTCTCTGGTTGTGATCCGTGATAATTCATGAAGCACATGGGGACTGACTCGCTGAACATGGAAGCCCACTGGGCCACGCGCAAAGGTGAGGCGATGGAGAGATTTTCTCTGAAAATGGAGAGTGATGGAGAAGACGTGAGTTCAAGAATGAGGCGAGCAGAACCACTGAAGGATGATTAAGAGCAAAACTACCAAAAGTTCAAAGCCTGATGTCCCAAGCGAAACAGCGAAACAGAAAGTAGGATCATAGGACAGATTTCACCCTGTAAGTGAAGCCAATCTATGTCAAAAAGCCGACAGGCGCAGTACAGTTGTCCCATTCTTATTGGGGCTCAGCTCACCAATCTCTAGGGTGATTCAAACTCGTGATCTCCCTGCTGGTAAGCAGTATGAGCAACTCGCACAGTTCGTAGCGAATGTGACCTCTGAGCTTGACATTCCCTGCCCTCGTACTCTGGTCCATGCTAGAGTTACCTCTGTTCTTGAGCCTTCCAAGTTCCGACTTGTGACCTGTTTTGGTCTAACTCCAAGGAGTTCCTTGTTTCTCTGTTTGTGAATTCGATATTCGGTTCCCCCTGAGTATTCCGATTGAGATGTTGGTCCTTTGCACGTAGTGGTGCGTAAATTGGATCAATTTCAATGCATCGGTTGATCGAATCCGCCGTGGAGTACGATACTTCTGTGTCTCATGTCTCCGTTTGCCAAAATTGTGTTTTCTAGATTGAATTTGTGGTCTTTTTGGTCTTCGTGTATGGATATCAACCATTGGAACCACCCAACAGAACAACTAATCGTGATCGAAAGTCAGCTCTTGCTAGCAGCACGTATGTTAACACAGATGCAACACTACTCAACGCACAACCACCAACCCAGTACCATGCACCACTACACTCTCTAACAGCGCACTGATGATGTCAACTCGATTGCTCATGAAACGTCTCCAACCAAATTGCTCAGCTCAGCCAACAAACCAACGACCATCTACCTGTCGCTTCCGAACTAGTCGTTCAATCTGGACCCGTTTGACGACCGAAGCAGTCGTGACAGACAAATTTCAACTGGCCCCAAATTTCGGACCTTAGCTTTTCTTTTGTAAGCTATCACTTCAAAACCCACTGCAATGGTAAAATTACACACCGACATCCTGAGAGGTTATCGGATTCCATAACCTCGGAGAGGAGATCCATGATACCTTAATCCGAGGTTTGAGTGTTTGCTAAGAAGAACGGAATGTCTCCCCGTGAGCCAGGTCACCTGGATGGTTTTAAGCGTAACCAGACCTTCAAAGCCCTTTATCCCTTATGAACATTTCGGCTTGAAATGAGAAAATGAAGAAAGAAATTCAAGATAAGGAATTTCGCGATCCGGACCTTCAAGCTGTACATCCAGTGGACCGCCAGCTTCTTTTTTCTTCAACGTCGTGGGATTCTGCTTCTGCCAGGAACTCAGAAACACTGCGCATATCTTAGGTCACTTGAGGTTTGTTGTTCAAACCTACGGGTTCGCGCTCCCCCCCCCCTGTCGTGGGACACTCTCCAGTATAGTTCAATGGATCGTTGAGGGGCGCAAACCGTCACATCACGGTAAGGTCCAGTCTCTTCAAGAATAAGCGTTCCAAGACAACAGAACCTCTCAAATAATGGGATAGATAAACTTCGCAGCTGTAATCTGGCATATTATCAGTGGTGAATGATGCAATTTGATTCCTCACCATCAATAAGCGGTCCATAGATCGGTCTAAAATCGTTTTGGTCCAAAAAATAGTGTCTGACCCGAACCCCGGGGGTTACGGCAATGCGCTTACTTTGAACACTTCAGTCTCTGGTTGTGATCCGTGATAATTCATGAAGCACATGGGGACTGACTCGCTGAACATGGAAGCCCACTGGGCCACGCGCAAAGGTGAGGCGATGGAGAGATTTTCTCTGAAAATGGAGAGTGATGGAGAAGACGTGAGTTCAAGAATGAGGCGAGCAGAACCACTGAAGGATGATTAAGAGCAAAACTACCAAAAGTTCAAAGCCTGATGTCCCAAGCGAAACAGCGAAACAGAAAGTAGGATCATAGGACAGATTTCACCCTGTAAGTGAAGCCAATCTATGTCAAAAAGCCGACAGGCGCAGTACAGTTGTCCCATTCTTATTGGGGCTCAGCTCACCAATCTCTAGGGTGATTCAAACTCGTGATCTCCCTGCTGGTAAGCAGTATGAGCAACTCGCACAGTTCGTAGCGAATGTGACCTCTGAGCTTGACATTCCCTGCCCTCGTACTCTGGTCCATGCTAGAGTTACCTCTGTTCTTGAGCCTTCCAAGTTCCGACTTGTGACCTGTTTTGGTCTAACTCCAAGGAGTTCCTTGTTTCTCTGTTTGTGAATTCGATATTCGGTTCCCCCTGAGTATTCCGATTGAGATGTTGGTCCTTTGCACGTAGTGGTGCGTAAATTGGATCAATTTCAATGCATCGGTTGATCGAATCCGCCGTGGAGTACGATACTTCTGTGTCTCATGTCTCCGTTTGCCAAAATTGTGTTTTCTAGATTGAATTTGTGGTCTTTTTGGTCTTCGTGTATGGATATCAACCATTGGAACCACCCAACAGAACAACTAATCGTGATCGAAAGTCAGCTCTTGCTAGCAGCACGTATGTTAACACAGATGCAACACTACTCAACGCACAACCACCAACCCAGTACCATGCACCACTACACTCTCTAACAGCGCACTGATGATGTCAACTCGATTGCTCATGAAACGTCTCCAACCAAATTGCTCAGCTCAGCCAACAAACCAACGACCATCTACCTGTCGCTTCCGAACTAGTCGTTCAATCTGGACCCGTTTGACGACCGAAGCAGTCGTGACAGACAAATTTCAACTGGCCCCAAATTTCGGACCTTAGCTTTTGTAAGAGTTCCTATCACTTCAAAACCCACTGCAATGGTAAAATTACACACCGACATCCTGAGAGGTTATCGGATTCCATAACCTCGGAGATGTTCCCCATGATACCTTAATCCGAGGTTTGAGTGTTTGCTAAGAAGAACGGAATGTCTCCCCGTGAGCCAGGTCACCTGGATGGTTTTAAGCGTAACCAGACCTTCAAAGCCCTTTATCCCTTATGAACATTTCGGCTTGAAATGAGAAAATGAAGAAAGAAATTCAAGATAAGGAATTTCGCGATCCGGACCTTCAAGCTGTACATCCAGTGGACCGCCAGCTTCTTTTTTCTTCAACGTCGTGGGATTCTGCTTCTGCCAGGAACTCAGAAACACTGCGCATATCTTAGGTCACTTGAGGTTTGTTGTTCAAACCTACGGGTTCGCGCTCCCCCCCCCCCCCGACAGTGTTTTATTCTGTATTTTCTGAGCTATTTACTCCATTTCACGTGCCATTTGCACGCTACTCTCCATATAGCATTGCTCAGCCCCAAAACCGTAGAAACAGTTCACCATGGGTCTTACAGATCATACGAAATACCAGAAATCGAGAAAAACAGACATGTTTAGAAGTAAAGGCTACGAATTGCTGCGAAAATCTATGACAAGGGGCTAATGAACTTATTTTGGAACAACTAACCTGAGAGCAGACCATAGTTGATTAAAATCTCCTACGCTAAGAGACTGGGGGCCAAGTGATTGGATGCGCTCATGGTGTTCTTGTGTGGGTGTGAAGTGTTGCACCTATAAAGACGGCTTTTGAATTCATTTCCTACACAAAGGTGCTAAGTTTAGCGAGTGTTCTGAGGGTCATGAACGACGCAGATGGTAAGCTATTTAGTGAGTTATTATAAGGCATGAAACGGCTTCGGGCCTCGTGATACTCACCTGGGAAGACATGTGAGTTAACAAGAAACTAAATGTGCTAAACTCAAGTACCGTCTGCAAAAATGGATGGAGAATTTTTGAGTTCAGAAGCAGTTTTTCATGCGGCTGGACTTTGTCAAAGTCCGAGGTAGCTCAATGGTTAAGGCACGAAATTATTGACCGGAATGTCCGTGGTTCAAACCTAGCTGTTGCATCTCGATTGCTTCTGTCTAGGCCTGGGCAACCAAAAGGACTCAATGAGTCAAGTGTTTCAGGCAGATGTGGGATTTTGGCGCTAGATAATGAATAGACACATTGCATGCTGCAGAAAGATCAATAATCTGTGCTTCCTTCTCATAGAATACTATGGACATGACCCATACTACAATCATGACGACTGTGGTCCGAAAGTCAAAATCATTCAGCAAATCCCAGGCGAGCCACCTAGCAACTATTCAGATGAGGAACAGGAGGCTGACGATCCGAAATGCATTCAGAGGAGTGGCGCGAGTGGCTCTTTGCATCCGACAACTATCGACCCTGAATCAAAACCCACTAGCATCATCACCCGCAGATTACCCAACCGGCGATCGTGAACCAAGGCCTATCACTCACCAAACTTCCAACACTCATTAGAGAAAAGAAAAGAAAGCGTTCAGCTGTAGCACCCTACCGGTGCCTAGCTGCCGTGCCACCCGAAGGAAGCACGAGGGCTGGGATACTGCCAGGTTGTCCATGTCTAGACAGGGGAAGTCGAGAAGCGGAGGTCGGATTCGAACCACGGACCTTCCGGTCAGTGAATTCGCGCTCTAACCACTTAGGCCATCTCTCCCCTCATTCGAAGTATTGAATGGACCACTCCTGACTCGGCGGTTATCCGAGGCCAAGCGGCTCGGCCAAGGACTCAACGTTAAGTATTGTAACACAAGAGGGAGCCAATACCTACTGTTTATCAGCAAGTGTGTATCCGATACGAGTTACCCAATCGGATCCCATCACCAGCATCATGGTAAACCTAACAGAACGAATAACAGGGATGCCAGAAAAGCAGCTAAAGCATAACCTTGATCTAGGAAGCTACCTCCAAGGGTAGCTAACCACAGGGGAAGAACAGGATGTTTCCAAAGTGCGCGTGAAGGTGGTAATTTGCCCGGGCCTATGGCACACAGGCCTCTGCACTTGCACCAGGCTTTCCTGTTGCTGGCATCAGCGACACCCGAGGTCTGGATTACCACTCACTCTGTGGGGCAAGCACGATGATCAATGCACCCAGAGGTCTGATCGTGCTTATTAACACCGAAAGAAACGGAAGCAAGCGTGGTGAACTGGAGGGGCTATCAACCTAACGCTCCTACAAAAACGTGGTACATAAATGGTAGTGAGGGGGTCGACATGAATCCCTATTCTGCGACGTAAAAACGCAGCATGTGCCGTGGCACTTTTCGTTCAGATTAGATGTACAGCAGCTCATTTCACTTCAGCTGATCCTGAGGGTGCGTATGAATGTATGTAGCGTAGGGTAAAGTTGCCTCTAAATGGAAGCGCTTTTCACCATACAATGGGGTCGAAGTCGTCTCTTCTGCTGACTGGCTTAAAGCGATCCGCGAGCGGAGGTCTCTACCTCGTCCATGGGGATCCTCAAGTCCCAATAATTAAATGGACCAGCAGCGGCTGCAGACCAAACACCGACATAAACGTCCTGGTATTCCACGAGACAGCCTCAGGCCTGTTCTTATACCAGCATGTACAAGAGGTAACCAGACCGAACACAACCCCCTCCAACATCCTCGAATTCGTACCATTGTTGAGAGTCAAACAGCCGGTCCGAAGCCACTACATCCTCCGGACAAGAAAGATCATTTGGAATTTCGTTAAGAAATCATTCAGCTATAACACCCTTCCGGTGTCTAACTGCCATGACACCTGAAAGAAGCCCGAGGGCTGGGATACTGCCAGGCTGCCCAAGCCTAGACAAGGGAAACTGACAAGAAGAGATGCTGCTGAGAAAATTTACTTCGATACCGCGGGCATCGTGCCAACTGGAACACAAAATAACCTTTGTGCGGCACTTTTAGTTGAAGAATATCACAGATAAGAGGTTCAGTGCGGCCGTTCGTTAACACCAGCGTAAGTTGCAAACAAGTGTATTTTGCAAACGAATTTACGTAGCTGCATGCTTGCAACGACCCAGTGAGTTTTACGTGGAAGGGACTCTGTCGTAGATATTGAGTGCGAAAATAACCTCGGGGTTGTAATCTCAAACACACTTAAAACAGCAGCCCACAAGGATCGAGTTTGCGCTTTAGCCTGGGCATGCCTGCAGCAATCCGAAAACCACTCTCTAAATCGAATCCTGCAGGTTCCCAAACACTCCATGGTATCACGACTGGCACACGGAGGGCCCAAAGCCTATTCCTGTATTTGGGGGGCAGATCAGCTGTTCACAGAAAGACGCTACACGTCTGGTGGAAGAAATGTGAGGACAGGTTATTTCCTTGAAGCTACCTCAAGACCAAGGAACTCCGATCACACTGAATAATTTCCAAAAGGGCAGCACAAACGTCGAATTGCCACTGTGCAACGGCGACCGGCGCAAAAAAACATTGTAAAGGGTATTTGAAAACTAGGGCTCGCGACTAGGGCTATCATACACCTCTAGAATTCACCGCCCGCCGTTATTAAACAGGGAGCAGATCGAAGACTTGGCAGGGGTAGGCGTAAGGGACAACTTATAGAGTACTTCCGAGGTTCGACTCAGGAGATGCATGACGTAGATACTGGAGAGGCGGTTGAAGATCCAGCCTACACCTCCAAACATTCATTCAGGCAATGTGGATAGAAACTGACAAGTACGCTACTGACATGGATTAGCAGCCATATCTTGCAGCGTCTTTAGCCAGGCACAGTGGGGAACACACAGTGCATGCCAAAGACCTCCCGGTCAGAAAGAGGGACTTTGTGCACTTAAAGGCACTTTGATGGGACTGCACTCAGCCGGCCTGACTGGGCGAACTGAAAACCAACTTAGTTATTGAGTACAGAATGGTGTGAACAACAAGTGGAAACTAATGGGAGAAAAAACCCAACTCACCCTGCGTATTGGTGTATAAGGGTTCGGCAAATCTTCCGCAATGGCATTTCGAAGCTTCCCCACAGAGTGGCCACGCCTTGTTCCGCAAGATCCAGTGAGTATTCACAAAGGAATGTGGTTTTTCCGACCCCTGTGTGACCAGACAATACGGTCATCTCATTAGGGCGAAAGCCTTTGAGTATTCGGTTCAGTTCCGTAAATCTGGCCCACTGAAAACCTGATAATTGGTTTAAAGATAATTACTGGGACGCCTTGATGCTCTGTAACCTTCACGATCTCGTTAACTGCCTTCAGCAGCAGATCACCATTCAAGCGGACTATGCGCATTAACGAGCGTGTGCCCGTTATTAAATAACGGAAAACCGTTATCCAATTTGCAACCTCGGGTCACCCAATCACCTAGGGTGGACCGGAGAAACTACCCATCGATGGACACGCGATACAAGCAAAAAGACGCCAAAAGTGGCCTTGAGCCGTAACCGACGTTCAGTTTAACAACAACCACCATTGACCCACGGTTTCATACACAGGGTCAAATTTTTAATCAAGCTTCGAGGGGGTTGTTCCACACGTTTGATGATTTGGGTTCACCTGGAAGGCACAAACAAATTGGGTGGTAGTTTTGAACGCTAGGGCTTATGGGAAAGAACCTAATACTTGGTTAGAAATGGGTCCCAAACGTAGCGTGGGCAACGTACCTGCTCACCGAAATGAGGAAAACTATTTTCTAATGAAACCGCAAGTCATAAAAAATACTCTTAGCGTTTCCTGGTCGTGTAATACAGAATCCAACTTTGAAAAATCCATTGGACCAACCTTGCTCATACAACATGTAAGAGAGGATCATCTGCCTCGGAGGTTGCGATCACTTGAGGGAGTGCATTCAAGCATATACGGCAGTGCTTCATAATCAGTGGACTTGAAGCCTTTAAATATCTTCGTGGCAGCTTGTCAGACACGCCAGTTTGGACTTACACCATTTTGCTCTCTCGGGAAACAACTTGATCAGTGTACTCATAGGATACGCATAGGATACCTGGACGTCCATGGGGGTAAGCAGGGAAAGCCGACCGACGCAGGACGACAATACACTTTGGGAAGGGTTTCGCGATGAAGTGTGTGGGAGGTGTTTACAGCGGCAGGCAATCAAAATGCTTATTCGAGCCTCGTAATATTTTCTGGTCTATTCTCAACATGCAAAATCAAGGCGTTTCCTGAATCATTTAGGGGAAAGAACCAGATCATCAAGATTCACCGCTGTTCGATGGGGATGCATTTGTTGATTTTCTGTGGCTACCGAGCACAGTTTGGCCCACAAGACACCGCTAGACTTTTCTGGCTGCTCGAAAAGAGCATGAAACATCCAAGCTCTCCACTCTAGCAGTCCAAATTTATCGTAGGCGATCGCAATATTCGGTCGCAAACGCATTTTCGTGCCTTTTTGGTTTTCCTTCATCCAGCTAAGCTCAGATGACGGCTCTCAGCCGCCTTAACACTTCATAAATGGTCTCAAGATCATAGGAATTGCTTTCCTTGAGGATTCTTTGTTGTCTCACCACTGCTGTTGGTCCAAAGTTCTTTGAATGCGACCACTAAGCTGTCACTTGCAACTAAACAGCTTAAATACTCTATCCTATGTATCCTGTTTTGAATACTTTCTTTCATTTCGCCGACATCGCCTCAACCTGGACAACCTTTCCGCGTGAGAGAATCTTGGAGGGATAATTTTATTCCCGTGCCACTCACGCCGTGGCCGATGTTCTCAACCGCTAAGTTCGTATTTGCCGTTACCACGGAAGCAGATAATTACCTGTTTTCGACGATAATTTCGGAGCATACCGTCGCCATTTCTGTAAAACTCAGGACATTTTTCTCCTTATTCTTACTGAAAAAAACACGCGTACTTGCTTGCCACTTGCAGACCTGCTCTCTGAAAGCGTAAAAGGATAAATTTGCAGTCCACTATCATTGGTCCAAGGACCTAAGGCTCCTTTTCCTCCCTCGTGGCTTTCTCACATGTTCTCCGATTTCAACTATTATGGCTATTGAGACAAAGTCTATTTCTAACCTGTTGTAATGTGGAGGCTCCAAGCTCCTACATCGTCATGTGGTCATTCCCCCCTGATTATTTACACAATAAATCATTTCTGCCATACTAGTTTGTAGACAAATAAACTGAGTCTCCTACATAATGCCTAGCCCGGCAACTTGACGGTGTCTATTTATCAGGCATCGACGGAACCCCTCCGGGATTCTTGAAGCGGCGGTTCGGGCTTCTCTATTAGGATCCTTGATCACCCCACCAATTCCTGAGTCACCGGCATAATCTCGAGTCAAATAAAGTAATTCGCCAGTGTCCCGAAATAAGTTTAACACATTGAGTTCGCATTCAGCTACCTTGTATTCTCTGTCGTACCCTTGAACGCTCCATATTAATAATGCTCATTCTCAGCTGGCGACTAGCATACCGTAGATATGAGCAAACTGTTACAGGCAGAATGAGAGCATGATTAGTGGGATTTGTAGGTAATCAGAATCATGCGGGAAAAAGGTGATCTCACAAACAACATCCGAAGTGAACGCGGTAAAGTTTGAACTGTCACGATCCTAATGCGGTGGACACTAGGGACAGGGAGGCACAGTTATATTTGTCTCTTCTAACTTTTGCGAATATGTCAATCTCAAGGAGGATTGGACCGCTGAAGTTTTCAGCTGGTGGACGAATACATGTCATTGAATGGAAAAAGTAGAGGTACCACGTCTTTTACGTCATCAGAAAACTGCGACTTGTGGAACCAAAGAACATATACAATGGACCAGAAGAGTCGCAGCCATACTGCCTGTCAATTCGAAATGAAACTAAACTAAAACCACTGCTGGTGGCTTAACCAGCTAAATTCAGCGCCATAAAAAGCATAGGTTTGAGCGATGAAGTATGGGAATTCGCAATAGGGTAAATGGTGCGTTTTGCTGATAAAGTGAGATTAGTTGCCACGCGACCACAATATGGCGATGGCATCAACAGATTTGCATGTTGATGTAAGCCGTTAGATTCTCAGAGCATCTTCAGGCTTTCCATACTTTCTATGTAATGTTGATTCCCCCTGTGAATCAACGATGAACAAGGGTAACTTTCCTTGTTTTCTAATAACTCATGAATGACATGGCTTACACCCGTATTCGCAATAGGGTAAATGGTGCGTTTTGCTGATAAAGTGAGATTAGTTGCCACGCGACCACAATATGGCGATGGAACCAACAGATTTGCATGTTGATGTAAGCCGTTAGATTCTCAGAGCATCTTCAGGCTTTCCATACTTTCTATGTAATGTTGATTCCCCCTGTGAATCAAACGATGAACAGGGTAACTTTCCTTGTTTTCTAATAACTCATGAATGACATGGCTTACACCCGTTTGTTATGACACCGTTTCGTT